AATGGCGGATTGGATTGGGGGGAATGGTTTCTAGGCACTTTCAGGACTCTATTCCTTCATAGAACTTGTGGGTAATGTTGTTTAGAAGCTATAGGAACAAGTTTGAAAGGAAATGGTGGAGAATTGCTCTCGAATTTGGAAGAAATCTGAGAGTAGGAGACCTAAAATCTAAACACAGAATTTATAGGGGATACTTAAACCGACATTGACCCAAAATCTTGCTCGATTCTTGTTCCAAACGATTGCCCCAACTACAGAATTTATAGGGGAAACTTAAACCAACATTGGGAGGTCCAGAATCATCATGAATTGTAGATTGGATTTTCTAAAAAATCTGTCGAAAATATCTACTCCGATCAGAGCCTCACCGACCTTGGTTTTGAATACTAGCCGTTGGATGTGATGATCCATGAGTTTTCTAGAATATATACAAGTTTGGAGGAGATCCAATGGCTGACAGTCGAGATTCGAAGGATTTTGTGCAGAAGGCACTGTGAAGGTTCTAATTTTTTAGCAGAATGGAAAATCCGTAATTATCCTTAACTTCAAGGGTATTTTGGTAATTTGCCACTTTCTGAATATTTTATTATTATTTTCTTGAAAAGTCCATAATTTTCCTATAAATTCTTCATCTCTTGTTGGTCATTTTTCCGTCTGGAACATCTTGAAATTCCTTCTTGATAAGGAATTAAAAATCTGGCAAGATCGTTGATAATTGGAAAAATGACATTTTCGTCCCTTTCCCTTATGCTTTCATCCCAACCTTCTCCAAAGGTCTTAAGTCCTTAAGATTACTCCTTAGGGTATAGAAATGACTCACTAAGTCCCGTTTCCTTGATTAATCCTCATAATTTCTTTCCTTGGATCTTTTAGGTCGTGCATAGGTGGCTTTCCTTCACTTTTAGGAAGTTACAATACATGACTAGATGACTCAAATTTGATTGGAAATTGTTTATGTATGTAGGTACAAGCAAACCATTAGGCACAAAAGGAAGCTATCTTAAAGTATTTCATGCAGGCCTTCAGATGATTGCAGGGATAATGTTTTTTGTGATTGTAAATTAAACATCTGCTTCTGTCATGGCAAGAAGCATCCCTTCAACTTCAACTCCAACTCTCACAAGATGAGTAAGAACATTCATTTAGAAGACAACAAGGAGATCAAAGAAGTGCCTCTCAACAACTAATCAATATAATGAAGATGATCATAAAGAACTTGATCGATGTGACCCTGTATTTAGATTCTCATAATAAATAAACGATATTTTTGTTTAGTTTGTGTGTCTCTCAAGGTTTCAGGTCATAGTATATCATACAAATACAAGATACACTGACATGCTCGTTCCACATCAAGCTATTTAATGCAACAAATTATTCATAATATCATGTCATAAAGAATCATATACATGACAAAGAGATCATGAGTCAAAAATCGAGACTCGAATCTATCTCGAACTCTATAGCTCCATAGTTCATACACACTCTCGTCTCGGGTGTGCAGTTAGTTTCTATTTAAAAAGATGAGTAGGGTGATATAGTAAGAATGTTTAGAAAATGCTCAATTTTGAAGGACAAGAATGAGAGTTATCTAAAAATTATTGTTACAATTATTTATATTATGATTGCGATTATTATATTATGATGAGACGGTTTAGGTGAGATATACCGTAGACCTAACTTTCAATTCCCTTATGGAATCTAGTCGGTCTGTGGATCATCTCGGCTCCTCTCTTCTTGAGAATTTATACATCCCTCATTATTATATGGACAACTATTTCTCGAGTTCTGGTTTAGGTTTATCCTCAATAGGAAAATAAAGTAGAGCATCTAGAACCCAAGCAAAGAGCATGCGTGTGGAGTGTGTAGAAAAGTACAATGCATCCAGATTCACCGATAAATGAAATTAGAGCCAAAGCCAAAACATGATGTTTTTATCCACAAGACACAAAATCATATTTGCATACGTGCATTTCTCGACCTTAATAGTGGGGTCACTTCTTGAGTATTTTTCAATATTCATTCTATAATTTAAAAAAATTTACAATAATGAAAAGGACATATAAACGGTTGTTGGCTTCTCCTATGGAGGCTACATAATGAAATCTTTTATGCTAAATCCAACATTTATTTATATTTTTCTATCTTTTTTTAATTTGATTTTCACCTCCCAAATATTTTTCAATATTCATTCTACTATTAAAAAGAAAGGTTTGAAATATTTGTTTAGAGGTCAAAAGTATTTCTATTTGAATCACATCCAAAATATAGGATATTATCATCAAATTTAGATAAATTCATTGGCTAATTTGTTTGTTAGTTTTTTTTAGTTATTCCCATTGGGTTATCATACCATATTTTGGTTTCATATTACCTAATTTAGCAAATATTCCTCAATTATATAAAAATTTTGGGTACAAAATTGAAGACAAACAAAATTATCATCACCCAAAAAGCTCTAAAATCCCTCCCAAAGTTATGGACAAGAACATTTCTATCAAGTTCACTTTCCTAGCTACAATCATCTTGTTCTTCGTCGTGATCGATACAGGTTTAGAATATGTTGTAGTTATTAAAATGATATATCTTTTTTTTTTAAATGATTAAAATGATCCCAATTCATTACATGCATCCCTTTTGTGAACTTGTAGGTTAATTTTGTTCATCATAATATTTCTTCGTGTATTAAATTCATAACATCCCATTTAATGTTGTATTTCTAAAATCAAATATTAGTAAAGGAATTGAATGTCCCATAATGGGATGGATAACAATGAAACTCACCTCACCCCATCAAACCATTTTACAATATAATGGCAAACAAACTTAGTCTCAACTTGGCTTTGGTTGTTGCAATGATAGTGCTCCTCTTCTTTTATTTTGGTAATTGTCAATCTCATTTATTTTTCATCTTTTTTGTTGTTCTTCATTTTAAAAGCCGATATTTCAATTTTATGATAATATTGAGGGAAATGTCATAAAATAATTGTATGTATAGATATTACGAATTGTATATATAACTTTATGTGTGTTTTTCATGGATTAATTATATGTTGAGTGAGGATAAAATATTTTGAAATGATTCGTGTTGATCTGTGGGGATAGTTTTCACTCTTAGAAATAAGGAGTAAGTAATGTGATCTTGTCAGAGTGGAATGTCGAGGCCATCAGATGTTGAATCTGAATTTCGAATCTTGATCTGAATCTTCGACGCGAGGCATTATAAATTATATATATAAAATAAAAGAGTTTCAATCGTAGGAACTTTAAAATTAAGTGTGTTTTTCACGAAGCAATTGTTTTTGGGTATCTTCCTAGAAAATTTCCTAAGAAGCATATGATTGAGATCAAATCATGTCGAAATGACCCATGTGAGTCTTTGGTGATATTCTTCACCTCTTAGAAACTAGGTGTCAGTAACTTGACCATGTCGCTAGGGTTGCATAGGAATGTCGGTGCCATCAAGTATCGACTTCAGATTATGAATCCTTATATGAATCCTATGCATGTGGTGTTATAAACGGTATTACGCGACACCTCTCCTAGTAGATAAAAACAATGTGTAAATTTCTTTTCAATGGCTCAATCACATGACCTAAAAAATTAAGCGTAATTTTCATTATGTTGGATGACTTCTAAGTATGTTAGTGAGAACAAAACATGTTGGTATGTCGGGACTGTCTTCCCTCTTAGAACCGAAGACTAGGTAACGTGAGCATGTTGCAGGAGAATGTTGGAGCCTTCAAATGCTAAGAATCCTAGATATCGAGCTGAAATTTAGTACTCTTTGATTATATGTGACTAGATGGCTCAAATTTGATTGAAAATTATTTACGTATGCAGGTACAAGCAAACCAATAGGCACAAAAGGCAACTATCTTAAAGGTATTTCATGCAGAACTGCAGATGATTGTAGGGATAATGTGTTTTGTGATTGTAAATTAAACATCTGCTTTTGTCATGGCAAGAAGCATCCCTTCAACTTCAACTCCAACTCTCACAGATGAGTAAGAACATTTATTTAGAAGACAACAAGGAGATCAAAGAAATGCCTCAAAACAACTAATCAATATAATGAAGATGATCATAAAGAACTTGATCGATGTGACCCTATATTTTGATTTTCATAATAAATAAACAATATTTTTGTTTAGTTCGTGTGCCTCTCAAGGTTTCGGGTCATAGTATATCATACGAATACAAGATACACTGACATGCTCGTTTCACATCAAGCTATTTAATACAACAAATTATTCATAACAACATATCATAAAGAATCATATACATGACAAAGACATCATGAGTCAAAAATCGAGACTCGACTCTATCTTGAACTCTATAGCTCCATAGTTCATAAACATTCTAGTCTTGGGTGTGCAGTTAGTTTCTATTTAAAAAGAAAGAGTAGCTTGATATAGTAGGAACTTTTAGAAAATGCTCAATTTTAAAGGACGAGAAAAAGTGAGAAAGAGAGAGAAAGAGAGAGAAAGAGAGTTATCTAAAAATTATTGTCATAATTATTTATATTGTGATTACGATTACGATCATTATATTATGTTGATACGGTTTAGGTGAGATCTATCATTGACATAACTTTCAATTCCCTTATGGAATCTAGTTGGTCTAGGGACATCTTTGCTCCTCTCTTATAGAGAGCATATACATCCCTCGTTATTATATTTATGACTATCTCTCAAGCTTTGGTTTAGGTTCCTCAATAGAAAAAAAAAATAAAGCATCTAGAACCCAAGCTGGAGCATGTGTGTGGGCAATGTGTAGAAAAGTACAATGCATCCAAATCCACCAAAAAAAAAAAAAAAAAATGAAATTAGAGCCAAAGCCCCACTACAAGAAATTGCCCCTTTAATAGCTTTTGAGGATTGCTTTTTATATATTACGCTATTAATAGAAAACATAAAAAAAAAAAAATAATAATAATAATAATAAAAAAACGGAAAAGGGAAAATAAGGAAAAAACACAGAAAAGAGATTTCAAATTCCTTAGGTTAGGGTTAGTACGATCGCGGATAGCAATCTTGTCTTCTTCTTCTCAAATCAGGCCTCCCACGACCCTTCTTCCTTTCACCCGTCTTGGAATAAAGATGATTCTCCCTGTCCCTGGGAGTTCGTCAAATGCAACCCCATCAATGGAGTTTCCGAGCTTTCCCTCGATGGGTTGGGGCTACCAGAGAGAACCGGAAGAGGGTCTGAGAAATTGCAGCATCTCAAGGTACTCTCGCTTTCTGGCAATCTTAGTCATGAGCTTGTTCTACCTCCCGGTCTTCATACGGTTAATTCCAGTCGTAATGGTTTATCTGGACGGATACCCACTTAGATTTCTTGATTTTTCTGATAATCTCTTCTGTGCGCCTCTTCTGGATGAAATGTTTATTAATTACTTTCGCTTCATTATCTTTCTCTTGCATCTAATATGCTTCGGCCTTGTCCCCAACACATTGCCCACAAGGTGTTTATATTTAAACGTTCTGAATCTTTCAGCCAATCAATTTTCTGGTACCTTGGATTTTGGTGTTCGACAAGGCTCACGACATTGGATCTTCCAAAAATGTTCTATCTAGATATTTACCACAAGGGATTTAAGCTATCCATAACCTGAAAGAGCTCAAGCTGCAGAGCAATCAATTCAGCCATTCATGACCTGGGTTTGGAGGAGATTAATTTGTCTCAGAACGAGCTGATTGGTTGAGCTGATTGGTTTAGTCCCAGTAGGATCAAACAAGCTATATGAGAAACTCACAAGGATGGACCTGTCAAGGAATAGATTAGAAGGTATCTCAGCAGAAATGAGATTCTACGGACACTTGAGATACTTGAATCCCTCATGGAGCAGCTTTAAAGCAAAGATTCCACCAGAAATGAGTTTGTTTCCGAACTTGAATATGTTCAATTGAACAAATCATCTTTAGGTCATACTTTGCTCCAAGTCCCTAATTCAGGTACGAATTTTTCTATTACAATTTTTCTATTACAGTATCTCTACTACATTCTTAGTTGTTTATCATAATTAACTAATACATTTCTTGATTATGTTGGTTTGGCCTAAACAAAAGCACGAGAGTATCATTTGTCTTAGCTATATTCTTGGTTGTTTACCAACTTGAGCCCCCATACATAAGTTTGGTTTGGTTGGTGCAAGATGGAACAAATGGGAAATCATGTAGGACTCATGTAGGACTGTGGAGTTGAAGTAAAATGTATATATGGATGTTATATGCATTAAAAAAAAAACTAGTTTGAACAGTATAGTTTTAGTTTTTTTTTTTACTTAACTAGTCTTTCGAACTTGATAGTTTCTACACACCATATTTGTTATGAGCTTGTGTAGATCATTTGAGTTGTACCTTTTGTAGTAGCAACAAAGAAGAACGTTCATACTGTGATAAATGCTTTAAAAGAGTTTTCTGTTTTTTTCCTTTTGTGTACTTTTAAAACAAGAACATTAATGAAACTCTGTCAAATTTTATTTTTCTATAAGCAAATTACAACATACCATTTATATAAAGTTTAAGCAACATTTCTGTATACGATGTTACAACATCTAAACATGGTCGTACAAATGGTTGTTAGAAAATCAAGGAGGAAAACTGTTTAGATTATTTTTACTCTGGCATCCTTGAAGGCCATGCTCTGTTGTTTTACTTTGACCTTCTTGAGTTGATCTCAATCAAGAGGGAAGGATTGGCATCTAAAGGTGATTGTATGAGATGCTACAATTCAAGATGTTATTTCACTGGAAAAATCTAACATATACTCCATATTCGTTTGGACATTGCCAGAAAATTCAATTTTCATTTTTTATTTTTTTATTATAGTTTTTAACTATTTATCTGTCTTACTCCTCTTGATTAAGAAAATGTAGTATTCTGAAATATTGTTGCAATATTCGTAATAATCAAATGGAATACTTAATTTATGTTTCATTCTTCTCATTTCACTTGCTAATGGATAACAAAAGTGTGTTTTGTGGAGGTTATGATGGATGAATGCAATTATGATTTTCTTTTCTTAACAAATCAAGCTAAGTCCAAGAGGTACATTAAAGCAATGTTGATATCTTCATTATTGATTGTGTACAGAGGATGCAGGAGGAACAAAGCGATAAAAGAGAGTGAACGTGCTGCTGGAAACAATATTTTTTATGACAAAGTTGGGATATTATGCCTACTCAAATAACAGACACTTAAGAAAGGTAACTTGCTCCTAAGAAGATAATGCACTAGAAAGGTATCGGCTGCTCAACATGTTAAAAAAGTTGGATGAACAAAGCTTGGACACTGTTATTGTCGCTATTCTTTTGTAGATTTTAGTAATGTGTTTCTGTTTCTTAAAACTTATGTACATCTAATTGAATACACTGTAAATACATTATAATATCTCTATTAGATTATATTAAAGAAAATATTGTTGAGCCTAAAGTTTAAATAGTATTATTATAAAATATGATTAAAGTTTTAAATATTATATTATAACATTAAAAAAAATGTTATTATAAATTAAAAGATAGCATAATATTTTTGTTATCTTAAACATATTATAGCTCTTTTCCTAACAATTTATATAAGCTATAGCTTCATAATCTATTATAGCATCCATTATAGCGGTAAAAAAATGCTATAAAAAGTCTTAGACTTTTAATAACATAGGCTGTCACGACGTACGAAAAACGCTATAAAAAGTCTACAATAGCATTTTTCGTAAGCTATCGTATATATTATTTGTTGTAGTCCAAGACATGATGTTTTATGCCACTATACACGAAGTATATATTATTTGTTGTAGTCCAAGACATGATGTTTTATGCCACTATACACGAATCATATTTATATGTGTGTATTTCTCGACCCTAACATTGGAGTCACTTACTGATTATTTTTCAATATTCATTCTATGGTTTTGAAATAATAATAATAATAATAATTAAAAATACAATTACTAATACCTCTCTCCCATCCAATCTCTCACATCCATGGAGATACAAACAGAAAAAGAAAAACATGGAGATACAAACAGAAAAAGAAAAACTGGAGATTTATTTGGGGAGAGAAAAAGGAAATCCCTCCTACAATCATTTAACCAAAAGAAGAGATAAAAATTTATTGGTAAGATCTTCTTTTTCTTTTAAATTAGCAAAAATTAATTGTGAATAGAATTAATGAAAAATGTGTTTAAATGAAATATATATTTGATGTTGACGTGCCCGGTGGTTCTGCACGTGTCATATATATCAATATGTGTTAATTATTTGTGGATCGATATGTTTATAATATGTTATGTATATGTTATAATATGTGAATTGTATGATAATACTTACAGTACGATGTGTTCAATGATATGTGTGTGTGTTTACGATATGATATGATTATGATACAAGATGTGAATGACCGATGGATATATATATATAAAGATGTGATATGATATGAATTATGTTATGGTACAAGATATGGGATAAATTTACATGTTTATGATATCATATATTGTGATGCGATATATTATGGTATGAGATGTATATGATGAGATGTTATGTTAAAAGCATGAAACGTTATGTTATGTCTCTTAACTTGTATGTATACAACATAATATGAATGACATGAAATATAACCTCGTTAGAACTATGTATGATACGAGAACTAAAAAATGAGAAATGATATGATATGAACGATATTCGATATGTGAAATGATATGAAAAACGATATGATATGTATGAAACGCTAGCGGGATTGTATTAAATGATAACGAAATGAAAAAATATTGGGACTTCATGCATTACGCTCATGCATTGGGGGATACCCCTATTCCATCACGAGGGTATGGACACGTACACCACTAGATAGATGAAGTATTATTATGTTTTATATAATGCTGCCATGACGATTACTAATTCTAATGGGTGTCCGGCATAAGGAGCTACCAGAATAGGCTCGCCCGACAAGAAAAGGGGTCCAGCGGTGTGCGAACTGTCTAATGAGCTTGTACTTGCACGTATGGGTTGTGTGTAGAGTATATGGCACATATCTAAGCTGCCCATTAGTATAGTATCGTGGGAAAAAAGACTGATATGATAGATCCCGTCATTGCATTCGCATGTTTCTTGCATTTAACCCCAATAGTGGGGTCACTTCCTAAGTATTTCTCAAAATACTCAAGCCACGTGTTACCACTATTTCAGGTTAAGGCAAGACATTTCTGTACGGCTGACGACGACAACGCAATTCGAGACCATGGCACATGCATAGGGTAGATGTATTATTTTCTTAGACTTAGGCTAGAATAGGATGCTTTTAATTTAAACGTTTATTTATTTTTTGTTGTGTCGTTTTTAAAAGTGTTTTCAAAACACGTAAGAACATGGCTGTGTTTTAAAATGAAGATGTCGTCTTATGAAAGTTTAAATAAAGTATTTCCGCATTCAATGTTCATGATATATATANACCGTCTTCGATACAGGTATCTTGTAGTTATTAAAAAATGTATGAGTGTTTGAGGGTTGAGTCGGGTCAGGTCAGATTATGACATTTTTTAGACCGAACCCAATTATTTGCATTATAAATTTTTTAGCATAAACAACTGTTGTTATATAATGAATCTAACTCAACCCAACTCGACCATAAATTTTTTGGGATAGATAGTTGGTTAAGGTAGTTCGAGTTATTTATTCAATTTTTTTATTTGGATAAAAATAAAACATTAGTTTGTAAAATATATGTTTATTTATTTTCATACGTTTGGTCAAGATTTGCAATTCAATTTTGTGTATATTTTTTAAGCAAACATGTATATCTTAAAATTAAAAGTAAGTTTGATTGTATAAAGATTCAAACCAATAAGTTTTAGGGGTACCAAAGAAGGAACTCAATAGAACTCAATTCAACATAAATGCTTATATATAATTGTATTATACACAAAAATGTATATTTTAAAATTAACAATAAATTTAGATTCTTTTGGTTCAATCTAGTTTTGGGGGAAGCATAAACCAACTCAATCATAAAAGTTTTCAGTTATTTGAATATAGTCCAAATAAGTTCATGACTGAACTCGAACTAGATTGGTTCGGTCAATCCAATCTAGTTTCGGGAGAACCCTTAAACCAACTCAATGATAAAAGTTTTCAGTTATTTGAATTTAGTCCAAATAAGTTCATAACCTAACTCGAACCACACAGATTGGATTGGGTTGATCGAATTTTTTGAGTCATTAGATTGATTTTGATATTAATTTGAGTATTACTTTGTTTGATGAACAGTGACAAGCAAACCATTGGGAATAATACAAAGAAGTCATATTCATATTACGTGCAACACTGTCCAAGATTACTTTAATCCTAAGGTTTGTGAGTGCAAACTTGGGTTGTGTTTTTGCGTATCTAAGAGCCCGCCGCCGCACTTCAGCTTCCAGCATGACAATATGAGTGACACCACTCAAAACTAAGAAGTGGCTCTCAACAACTATTCAATAAATACAATTATTTTCATCGCAATATGCTTTACACAAATGAATAAGACTGATAAAACCATGTATTTCAATATTATATATTAGATTAAATTGAAAAATTACTTTTCGTTTATGATCTATGAGTTCGAGTCTGATTATTGTGGATGAGCGATTGAGGTAGATGAGAGATGACTGCGTGAATTGTGTCGTTTTATAGAACGTTTTATAGGGCCGTTACGTATCATCGTCAGCCTCAAGGTTTTATGACGCATCTACTATGGAGAGGGTCTAGCCCTACTTCGACCAATGTTTTGCGTCGTCTGGTGACTGGCTTTCGTACCATTTGTAATGGCCAAAAGCAGACAATATCTGCTAGAGTTGGGCTTGGCTGTTACAAATGGTATCAGAGTCAAACACCGGGCAGTGTGTTAGTGAGGACGTTAGTCCCTCAAAGGGGTGGATTGTGAGATCCCATATTGGTTGGAGAGGGGAACGAAACATTCCGTATAAGGGTGTGGAAACCTCTTCCTAATAGACACATTTTAAAACTATGAGGCTGACGATGATACATATCAAGCCAAAACGGACAATATCTCCTAGTGTTGGGCTTAAGTTTTTATACTTTAGTTGTCATATATCTTGCAAGCAAATGTCTTTGCTACCGAAAATCAAAATCTTTCAACTAAAATCAATAAATAAGGATGTTATGAGCATTCTCGATTAGCCACTTCATGCTCATGTCCTTACTTTGTGTTAGTAGGACCCACAGGTCGAGTCAAAGCTCTATGCTCTCTCTTTTTGTGTGGGATTATATGCGGGAGAGAAAGGAATCTGTGGGGGCAGCGAATAGCGAACAGCGAACAGCAACACTACAACTTAATTTTGACTTTTCACTCTATAAGTGTTAGGATTGCACAACAATGCACACACTCGATCTAGAAGAACACAAAGAACAAGATAGAGAAAATGCAAGGAGAATTCTGGCTAAAGGATTTATATTGATGACTTCAAGTATGTACAGTTAGATTGAATACAGAGAATACAAAAAGTACATTTTCAAAGCTCTACCGGACAGGATTTATATATATGGTTCAGTTTACTGTATATAGTTTTACCATATTTAACCATCTATTATATATAGCTATTTACCGAATATAGCTTTACCGAATCTAACCGTTGATCAAGCTATAAATAAAAGAGCAGGCTCCACAGCCTAACAATTCTCCAACTTGGAGACTGATCCAGTCAACCAAGAATTTCATTCTCAAACGATCATAAATATCTTCACTGCACCATACCAATTGAGGTTTTGCACAACCTTAATATTCCAACATCAACACATTTTGTCAACATGTTTGCTGGATTCTTTGCACCCTCTATCTTCTCAAAACACATCATCATCTTCCACTAACCTGCAAGTGAAATGGTATCGCCTTCCGTGTTGTATCTTTAAATGATAGTCCGAGTTCCTCACCAACTGTATGACACTCTGACTATCTCTGTAAAGAATTTTTTCGTACTGCTTCTTGCCCAATTCTTCCAGATAGTCAATCATCCATATCGTCTTCTTTCCAACTTCAGCTATTGCCACGTACTCAGCCTTAGTACAACACATTTTTTAAGCCTAGACGTCCCATCATCCATGTCTTGCTCCCACCTGGTTGTATCCTCCAACTATAGGGCCTCCTCAAAGGGTTGTGGTTCCCTTTCATCAGCAACAGATAGTGTAATGATGGTACATACATATCTGGTACTCTGATAGTACTGGATGATCTTCTCAACACCAGTTCAAGTGTCACTTGCTCCACTGCTGATTCCTCTGCAGTAGTCTCAGGAGTTTCATGAGTATCTGCTACAACATCACTAAGTGAGTTTTCCTGCAGCTCAAGCTCAACTCTCACTTGCTTCGTTGCCTTGA